CGTGCTATGGGCCCTGAGCTGGAGCCCCCACTTGATGTGCCTTTTTCCTCTTCCTGCTGCTTGCTCCTTAGAAGCAGGGAAGAAAGGAAGAGGGAAGTGTAGAAGAGAGTCTCACCCACCCACAGCCTCAAGACTATGGGGCATGCAGAAGCTTCCTTTGAGACATGGCAGTATCCTCAAACTTCCTTTCTTCAGTTCTGCTTGTGTTCTCATGCACGGCATCAGTGTACAGGTACCCAACGAGGGACCACTGATCCAGCTCCCAAGCTCCTGGAAGAGGCTATTTTATTATCATGAAGGAGGTGGGAGTAGCACATCCAGGTGAAGTTCTGATTTAAAAAGGCCATCCTCCCCTCTTATGAGAAGTGGTGTGCTCCAGTGACCAGGGCATTGGATTGGGATGCCAGAGGACTTGGGGTCTAGTCCCAGCTCTGTTACTAGTCTGCTATGTGACCGTGGGCATTTCACTCGACCTTTTGTGTGCCTCAGTTTCTCCATCTAAAATCCACGGATAATGATACTTCCTTTGTAAAGTGCACGGAGAGCTGTTGATTGTTATGGTAAAGCCATAACTTCTGTGCACAAGGTATGCTTTTGGGTACCCTAGAACTTCCTTTTCTGATTGGACTTCCAGGATGCCCACTTACTGCATATGGGGGAATCCTTCTATCTGTGCATTTTCCTTAGAGAAAGGGACAGCCATTTCTAGGTTCTGCCCTTAGGATTAACTCCAGGATCTAGACTAGGGTGACCAGACAGCAAGTGTGAAAAATCGGGACAGGGGGTGGGGGGTAATTGGAGCCTATATAAGAAAAAGACCCAACAATCAGGGCTGTCCCTATAAAATAGAGACATCTAGTCACCCTAATCTAGACTCTTTAGTGATAAATGTCTGCATCAGGAAGAGTGCACATTTATCCTGAATGGGATAATCTATTTGTTCCAGCAGGCATTTTCACCAGTCTAGTAAGAGACTGGGATAGAGTGTTACAGCCAACTGAGCATGACAATATCTGACTATGACTTCCCACCAGAGAGAGGATTCCCACCTGCTGCATATTGCCTAAGGCCCTAATGTTTTGGACCCTGGGAATCTGATTGTGCCTGCCAGATCTGGACAGCTAAATCTCCCTTGCCCTAGAGAGTGAAGGGTGTAGTTTCTTCAGGAAGGATCTCCCATAGACAGAGCACATTGCTTGGCTAGGAGCAAGATTGCACGATTGGTATGTAAGAGAGAATCCAGAAGAACTCTTTAAAATGCCCTTCCAGAAGGAGAAATGGCAGTGAGGGAAGTCTTCTGACTGCATCTCTGCCTATTGATTTTTGTGGGGTTCAAGAAGGGACTTAAATTTGGCACCTTGAATGCCCAAGTTGTGACATCCACTGGACTGAGCTCTCTTCAGCTGTGTATGGAGGTATGGGGGCCACCTCCACTCCCAGAGCTGTTGGCTGTAGAATGAGGAGGAGGGGGAAATGAGAGATGTATGACCAGAAAGAATAACTTAGTGTTCATTGTACTTGTCATAGTCATCGTCTTCCCAATCCCTCTGGCCAGTTTGTTCGTGGAGCACAGGATTTGCCACGCTGCAATAGGCCATCTTCTTGTCCACACTCCTGCTTTTGGCAGTGATCAAAATTTGATGCTGAAGAGAGAGGTGCAAAACCTTCCACCATGTACTTAGCCAACTGTGCAGGATAAGGTCCTTCCTACAGATGGGACCCACCATTCAAGGAAGAGGTAGGAAAAGAGTGTGGCTCTGGACTGTATTTACCTTAAATGACAGTCTTTTTTGCCTTCTTGCTTCCTGGGAGGAAGAGACAATTCTACTGACTGGCTGTAGGATGGGGGAAGAGAACAACCATAACAAATGCGATTACTAGTAGGTAATTCTTTCTGTGTTTTCCTCCTTAGTTTTCTGTCTTCTATGTTAACCCCTTTGTTTCTGTCCTTTTTTTTTTTTTTGGAAAACACACAAATGGCTTGTTCTGTGTTTTGCTTCACCATATTTTTTTTCATGTTCCTATTATAAGACACAGGTAGTTTAAATAAAACAAAACAAAAAGAAAGTAACTAAAGAAATCCTCCTTTCACATGTTTAGTATTAAGTCAAGCTGGTTGATATGTTTTCATTTAAATGTTTTTTATGAAAGAAAATTTTTCATGGGAACAAATAATGAGACCTGGGTTCTAGTTCCACCTCTTGCCAGTGGTCCGCTGGGTGACCACTCTGTGCCTTAGTTTCCCCACTGCAAAATGAGGATAATGATACTGACTTCCTTTGTAAAGCATTTTGAGATCTGCTGATGAAAAGTGCTAGATAAGAGATAGGAATTATGATAATTAATGTTTTCCCTATTTTAAACTATACACACATTATTCTCAAGGAACGGCAATTACTTTACCAATAAATATTACTGTCAATGACTACATATATTTTCTGTTGTCGATAACGCTTACCACTCACAGTGTTTTTCACCAATTGATCTCAAAGCAGTTTACAAATGTGGGTAAGCATTATCCTTCTCCATTTAGTCTCATGCTGAATCAGCGCACAGCTGAGAAAAGAACCCTGGAGTCCTGACTCCTAGCTTGCTCACCGGATCATGGGGCACGTTTAATAGTATCTACATTTAAAAAAAATTAGAAACTGAAATAAGGATAAAAAGACTAATATAAAAATAATTGGAAAAAAATCCCTGGATTAGATTTCAGGTTGATGGTGTACGACGAACTAGGCTTTTCTTTAGATGCGTATATTTTGCTTGTTTGTTAAGTCAGTTAAGGATGTGTCCTTTACTTTTCATTTCATTGGTCTTTTAAATGTTTTTTGGGGGTAGGGGCTGGAAGTGGTGTGATAACATTATCATTACTTAGTGATCCAGACCATAGTGAATTGCATGTGTGTGAAATTTTCTTTTTGTTTGTGTGTGTGTTTGTTTTTATCTTGGCTAAACTCTCTGGGTTAGATTGGCGTAACTCCATTGACTCCAATAGTAGTACATACCCACTGGTTTCAGCAGAGCTTTGCCAAAATATTCTAGCTGAGAGTCTGGCCCATGAGCCACAAAAGGTTAATTTTGTGACTCATTTTATTAGCAATGATTCAGGGGGTTTCCTGGCCTTGTATAAAACAAGTCATGTAATGAGTCTTAGCGGCAGGATAGAAATACTCTATTATTGTGGTTTTGGAAGATTATTCGTGCGTTAGTGGATTTGGAATATGATTGTTACAATAACCAATAGGCGCATGAAAGGTTTGAGTCTGTTTAAAATATCCATTTACAAATGAGTTGTTGCAGCAGGCCTGCCTGAACTAGCCTCCACCATCCATGTGTTTTGCTGTTTGGTGAGGGAGAGCATTTTTGGAAGAGTTGGGCAAGAACTGCAGAAAAATAGAGGTCCAGCGGTTAGGATGCTTGTCTAGTACTTTGGGGATTTGGGTTCAAAGCTCTGCTCTGCCACAAAACCTCCTGTATCACTTAGTCTCTCTGTGTTTGTTCCCCATCTCTAAAATGGGCATAGCAGCACGGCCTTACCTCACAGAGGTGTTGTTATGATAAATATACTGATGATTGGGAGGCACTCATACTTCAATAATGGGGACCATATAAGTACCTAGGACGTTTAGATAGCTAGAAACATTATTCAAATAACCGTCCCTCACTCCCCAGATTCACTTTGACCACTCAAGCAAATCTGTATTCACTACAGCTGGTCAACATTTTCTGAGTTTTCATCTTTTTGACAAAAAATGTCATACATTTATTTTAAATGAATAAATTCACATATTTGGAAGATGGTTTCAACCAGCTAAAGAGCTGGTTGGAGCTTTTTATTTTAAAATATTCATCACATCAATAAAACCCTTTTTTTCCCTTTTAAAATCGCAGTAAAATTTTTTGAAAAAAATCCACATTTGTTGTGTTTGGTTTTTTTATTTTTTTTTATTTTTTATTTTTTTTTGACCCAGAGTAGTATTCACACCAGAAGTGTTTACTGGCCCTCTTGAAAGCTCTTTGTGGATATAGGAATCATCCTGTCAACGAGAAGTAACAGCATCATGTGACTTTGGGTGATGAATCACCAGCTCAGGTAATGAACGCTGAATGGAATGTATTCCAAGGCAGTGCTTGTGATGAGATTAGTACATATAAACCATTTGTTGAACAATTCCCAATTTGCTCTTGGCTATCAGAGCAAAGGTCTGGAGAACCAGAACCAGAAAAGGAAAATACCTGACAAATGAACCCATAAATACACATTTGTCTCTCTAGGAGTTAATACCCACTTCAAACACTGCCCAATAGCAATTCAGTCCTGCACCAACTGAGATTCATTTCCCCACTGAGTTTAAAGCAAAATTCCCATTGATTTTAACACGAACATGGTCAGGTCCTGAAGTTGGTATAGTGGAAAGGAACATGGTGTAATGGTTAAAACAAAGGATTTGGCATCAGATCAACTATTTCAGGCTCTGCCACTAACTCATTATATGACCTTGAGCTAGTTACCATAACCTTTGTGCCTCAGTTTCCCCATCTGTAAATTGGGGATCATAATACTGCCCTAACTTTGCAGATTGCTTTGAGAGCCTTAGATGAAAGAGACTATTTAAGAGCAAATTATTCCTGTAAACTCTCAGCAGATATTAGCACAGCCAAAGTTGATTTACTTGGTATTAACTGGGCAATGCTACAGGCCAAATAAGATATTAAAGAGGGAAAAACTGTAAACAGTGCAGTATGTTATTACTTTCAAAGCTTTGCTGCAGATTTAAAGCCTTCAGGGACATTAGCAACATGTCCTGGCTTCACCGCTGAAGGGCAATGTTCATGCATTGGTTATTTAGAGGATATTCCAAAAGGTAAACAATAAATCATCCAATAATTATACCACTGCTCTAATTATGTATGAGCACCACTGCTTTGAGGAGGGGGCGGGGAGAGGATGAGTGTGTATATATAGATGTCTTTGCTGTTTGTTCAGGAAGGCACTTGCGATAGGCCATGCTGGTTTTGTTTGGATTGCATAAGCTTTAATCTAAAGTTAGAGATGTTTTTAGTTGATCTGTGTTAATGTTGGGTGGGAATTAACATGCATAAGAGAAGATCATGTGACCTCTCCCCCTTTTCCATCGCTTTATCGGATTCCTGCCAAAGCACAGTGGCTAGAGGCTAGCTGGGCTGGGCTGGGATCACACAACCCAGAGAGCGAGATGCCAGCGATCTCAGTCCTTTACAGAGGCGCCGTCATTATTAGCAGGTAATACCTCTGAGCAGCAAAACTGATGAAAAATGTGTGGCCGGTCAGAAGAAGGAAAGGAGACTGTGTGGTTGGGCTGGGGTGTTTAAGAGCCTCCTTGGGGAAATACAAAATTCCTGTCCGTGCTATTGATATTTAATGTCCAATCTCATATCAACTGGGCAAGAGGCAGGGAGGATTCCTTTGGTTTCCACAGAAACGTGATTCGGGGGGGGGAAGGATTGTGTGTCTGCTTCAGAAAGGGCTGAGACAGTGATGCAGGCTGAGGAAAATCAGTAGTGCCTCCCTTAGGATAAGGGGGAAGACTTGTGTTGTCCTGTCCTGGAATATCTCCTGGCCCTTGGTACCTTTCCAGGACTTTGGTTTTTTTCTCTCCAAGCTATGAGTGACTGTGTGCTCAGGATGAAGTAAGGTATAATGGCATGATAAGTGAAAGGGCTAAGGGTTATTAAATTGGAATGAGCATAAAAACTTCCAGTGAAATGCTATTCTGAATAATGAGTTCTTTTGTTTGACTGCCTGCTCTCTTGGGGAAGGTTTCCTTCCTATTCCTGAAGTCCCAGCACTGCATAGGAAGTGATTAAGAACAGAAGACTTTTTGGAAGTCCTGCACACCTAGTATGAGACTGTCTTGTGCTCAGGATTATTTGCTCCGAAATCAGTCCTCTCTGCTCCTTTGCTATGTGTTTTGTATGATTAGAAAACTTGTTCCCTCCAATGTTAACGCTGTGTGTGTTTGGGTTTTTGTTAATTTAGTCCATTGTTGGGGGGATCAGATTTAGGGAACATTTTGGGGGTAATCGGCTAGTCACCTGTTTTATGAAACCCCTATCCTGACATTACATTTGAGTTTGGGTTAAAACTCAGTTTCCTGTTAATAACATGGTTTCTTCAGGCACGTATCCAGGTAACTCTGCAAAATTCTGCGTAGTAACTTCAATATACTTAATTAGGTCCACACATTCTGCTGAAGTAAATTGGTGTAGCTCCATTGACTGATTTACACTAGCTGAGAAATTGGCCCTAGATGTTTATCTAATGCCTTGAATATGTAAAATATTATATAAATATTAAGTATGATTAATATGAAACTGAAGTAGGAGGGATGAAGATTTTTTTGATTGGAAGGTAAAATTCGATCAGAGACTTCGTCTTGGATATTATGGTCTCTGAGGTGTAGTTTCGAGCTGCGTGAAGGTATTTAGTTGGGATTTAAATCTTGGATGTCCCTACAGGCTCTTCTGGAAAAATGCAGGGTTACTCCTCCCATAAACTGTTGCGTTTAGATCCGGTTAACAGGCTCTGCTGTAACCACTTCCATGTTATTGCTGAGACCAAACCATGTCAAATCTTATGCTGAATCATGAAACTTGCATTTTTCCTCCAAGGTGAACTATGGGAACAGGAGAGTGCATGGCAAGAGGCTGAATTAGAGAGGACCTCAGAATTGGGTTTTCATCTAGAATATTTGGGCACTTTTGGCTTGTTAGGTTAAAGTCCACCCATTCCCATGTAACACTGCTGCTGTGAAAGTATCTCAAGGGGCCAGGAGAAGAAAAGGGACCATACTTGAATTCTAAACAGGGCTTTAGTGATCCAAATAAAAACCTGTATTTTTGAGGCAAGTTGAATCTAATACTCAGGCACTCTGCAGCCCCGAGTCGTCTTTAAATAAATAATTAAAGGGCAGAAATTTCAGAGGTCTTCAGCATTGGCCTAACTCTGCTCCCATTGAAGTCAGTCCCACCCCAAATGTCTCTCAAAAGCCTTCATGGTGGGAACTTGAGCTTGGTGGTGCCTCAGGATGGGAATTTGTCTATCCTAATCTCTTGTAGTGCAATATATTGGTGTAGCACTGTCGATGTCAGGGGACTGGATGATGGTGTGCTAATGTGACCTTATTTATATCTATGCTGAAATGTCCGAAAGGCTGGATCTCTACCTCTGTGCCTGGGAGGAAGTCAGAGGCACTATGGAACATACACGGCCTCTTGATACTTCCCAAGTGTTTGAAGTTACCTTGTTAATAAGTTTTCTGTTTTTACTTAATATTGCGACCCACTTATTTGCTTGGGTGTCGGAGGGTGGGAGTCCCAGACTCTGGAGGTCTAGAGCATCTGTTTTTTGACTAGAGATGGCCGGAATGTTTTCGCTAAAATGAAATGTCAGCAAAACATGCTGTTTCATCCAAGCCAAAACATTTTGCTGAGAGAGATTGGTTTCCATGAAATCATAGACTCACAGGACTGGAAGGGACCTCGAGAGGTCATCTAGTCCAGTCCCCTGCACTCAAGGCAGGACTAAGTATTATCTAGACCAGTGATTCTCAAACTAGGGCGGTTGCTTGTTCAGGGAAAGCCCCTGGTGGGCCATGCTGGTTTGTTTACCTGCTGTGTCCACAGGTTCGGCTGATTGTGGCTTCCACTGGCCGCAGTTTGCTGCTCCAGGCCAATGGGGGTTGCAGGAAGTGGTGCGGGCCAAGGGATGTGCTGGCCACCCTTCCGGCAGCCCCCATTGGCCTGGAGCAGCAAACCGCGGCCAGTGGGAGCCGTGATTGGCTGAACTTGTGGATGCGGCAGGTAAACAAACTGGCCCGGCCCGCCAGGGGCTTTCCCTGAACAAGCGGCGGCCCTAGTTTGAGAACCACTGATCTAGACCATCCCTGACAGGTGTTTGTCCAACCTGCTCTGAAAAATCCCCAATGATGGAGATTCCACAACCTCCCTAGGCAATTTATTCCAGTGCTTAACTACTCTGACAGGAAGTTTTTCCTCATGTCCAACCTAAACCGCCCTTGCTGCAATTTAAGCCCATTGCTTCTTGTCCTATCCTGAGAGGTTAAGAAGAACAATCCCTCCTTCTTGTAACAACCTTTTATGTACTTGAAAACTGTTACCATGGCCCCTATCAGTCTTCTCTTCTCCAGACTAAACAAACCCTGTTTTTTCAATCTTCCCTCATAGGTCATGTTTTCTAGACCTTTAATCATTTTTGTTGCTCTTCTCTGGACTTCCTCCAGTTTGTCCACATCTTTCCTTAAAAGTGGTGCCCAGAACTGGAAACAATACTCCAGTTGAGGCCTAATCGGCGCAGAGTAGAGCGGAAGAATTACTTCTCGTGTCTTGCTTACAATACTCCTGCTTATATATCCCATAAAGATTCACTTTTTTTGCAGTAGTGTTACACTGTTGACTCATATTTAGCTTGTGATCCACTATGACCCCCAGATCCTTTTCTGCAGTACTCCTTCCTAGGCAGTCATTTCTCATTTTGTTGTTCCTTCCTAAGTGCAGTACTTTGCATTTGTCCTTCTTGAATTTCATCCTGTGTACTTCAGATCATTCCTCCAGTTTGTCCAGATCATTTTGAATTTTAATCCTATCTTCCAAAGAACTTTAAACCCCTCCCAGCTTGGTATTGTCTGCAAACTTTATAAGTGTTGCACCCCAAAATCCCACCTCTGACACCAGTGTGACCAAGTTCCACCTCTATCTTGGTGGGTCCTGCGCTTATTGGCGGATTTTCTTGCCTCAGAGATTCACCATGTGGGTTGGGGAACAGCCCAGAGACCTTCCCCTCTGGAAGAAGCCACAGTCCAGGTCAATTGGGAGGTTTGGGGGGAACCCGGGCCCGCCC